GTTGATGCTTTCCTTCACCATGCAGCTTTTTATTTTGATGTAGTCCCAATAGTTTCTTTTCGCTTTTGTATCCCTTGCCTTAGGAGACACATCTAGGAAAATGTTGCAATGGCCAACATCAAAGAGATTACTGCCTATGTTCTCTTCTAAGAGTTTTATGGTTTCAGTCTCACATTTAAGCCTTTAACCCATTTTGAGCTTATTTTTGTGTAGGGTGTTAGAAAGTGGTCCAGTTTCATTCTTTTGCTTGTGGCTGTCCAGATTTCCCAGCACCATTTATTACAGACAGTCTTTTCCCCATTATATATTTTTGCCTAATTTGTCATAGATTAATTTGGTATCATTTTAATATTTTTTAAAAGATTTTATTTGTATGTGTGTCTGTGTGTGTGAGAGAGAGAGAGAGCGAGTGAGAGAGAGAGCATGAGCAGGTGGGAGGGGCAGAGGGAGAAGCAGACTTCCCACTGAGCAGGGAGCCTGATGTGGGACTTGATCCCAGGATCCTGGGATCATGACCTGAGCCAAAGGCAGATGCTTAACCAACTGAGCCACCCAGGTGTCCGGTATCATTTTAAATGTCTCTTATCAACAACATTTAGACTGTTCTTTGCTTAATCTGAGAGTCTTTGTCTTTGATTAGTGGAATTTAACCTATTTACATACAGTGTGATAATTTAGACAGACTGGGCTTAGTCCTATCCTCTTATTCTTTTTATTTTCTGTTAAATACATATTCTTGTTTCCTCCTATTTCCCTCTTATTTTGCCAGAATGATCCAGTTTCCTTTGGTCCTTCTCTTTTTCTGTAATGATGTGGAAGTCATGTATGCTGTTTCTGTCTTGCTGGATCTTACTCATCAATTCTATTACACATATTTAAAATTAATTTCAACGCATTAACAGTAGCAATGAAAGGATAATACTAATTGAAAAGGAGTAATGAAATGAGCATTTTCACACATTATTGGTGAGAATGTGAATTTTTATCCCATGTTTCCAAGTATTTACAGAGAGTGGGTGGGGAAAGTAGCCCTGATTATATAGCTTAATCCAGGAAGGGCCTAGGGCTGTGATCAATCTCATCCAAGGCACAAAACTGAAAAATGAAATTTCCAAGTGAAAAACAAGGTATTAATGGTGGGAAAGTATAAAAACAGATGCTGGCATGGCAAACAATATCCTCTATAATGGTCATTGTAGTACTGCTTATAAGTAAGAAAATTTGGAAGCAACCTAAATGTGCATTAATGGGGAACTGGTTAATTAATTATGGAACTTTCACACTATTCCCCTCTGTCATCTTGGGAAAGTTATTTAACCCCTCAATTCTGATTTTCTTATCTATAAAATGGGAATAATAAGAGCATCTATATCAATCATAAAGTTTATTATGAGACTTAAATAAACATGTAGAGCCCTTAAAATGGTGTCTGGCACATGATAAGTACATAGTATATGGTAGCTACCATTATTATTATTATTCAGATTTTAAAAATAGAATATTGTAGGGAGTAGGGTGAGGGGAAATTGGATGAAGGTGGTCAAAAGGCACAAACTTCCAGTTTTAAGATAAATCCTGGGGATGCAATGTACAACATGATGACTATAGCTAACACTGCTGTATGATATATGAAAGTCATTAAGGGAGTAGATCCTAAGAGTTCTAATCACAAGGAAAAAATTATATACATATGAGATGATCATGTTAACTAAACTTATTGTGGTAATCATTGCATGATATATGTAAATTAAGTCATTATGCTGTACAACCTAAACTTACAGAGTGCTGTATGTCAATTATATCGCTATAAAATTGGGGAAAACCTGAGTATTAGCTTATACATAAAGTTGTTTTTTTTTATATAATTTTTTTAAAGATTTATTTCAGAAAGAGCACACGCTGTGCAATTATTTTTTGTGCTGGATCACAACAATTTGACGACTGCTGTTCCAGATTAAGAATCAGTCTGTAAAACTGAAACAGATATTGTATAGGAATAAGTTATGTAGAGAGCATCACTGTTCTTTCATTGTGATTAGTATTCTGGAGATATTAGTGTGTCTTGTACATTTTTAAGGGTGTGTTCTGGAGAATCTACACAGAGCCTCTCTAAGGGGAAACCTGATGTACCACGTGATCGCTGTCAATTACCTCTATTGCATAATAAAAGGATTAACCACTTGAAAAAGAAAAGAAACCATAATGCAATATCACTACACATCGGCCAGAATGGTTCAAATGAAAAAGTGCTGGCAAGTATGCAGAGCAACTAGAACGCTCATGCACTTCTGTTGGGAGTATAAATTGGTATAATCACGGAAAAACTGCTTGGTGGTATCTGCTGGAGCTGAATAAACACATGCCCTTCTCATTCTAGGTGGGTAGGCAACGGAAAAATGTCCACATGTCTACCAAAAGACATGTATTACCACGCTCATAGCAGCACCTGTCATAATAGTCCCGAATTGGAAACTACCCAATTGCCCATCAACAGAAGAATGGAAAACCGTGGTACATTCATACAATGAAATACTATATACCAATACGAATAATCTACAGGCACATGAGCAATATGGATGAATCTCATAAACACAATGCTGAGCAAAAGAAGTCAGATACAGAAGACTACATAGGTATGATTGCATTCATGTGAAGTACAAAGCAGGCAAAATTAATCTGTGTTTTCTTAAGTCAGAAATACCCTCCGGAGGAAGATGACTAGGGACTGGGAGGAATACATAAGGGGATTATGGGGTGCTGGAAATGTTCTATTTCTTGATCTGGGCATTGATTACCAGAGTCCTATATGTATACTATATTTTAAATAATTTAAAAGTTAAAATAATAATTTGCATGTATAAAATCAAGAATCTTAAAAATTTATCTTTTGTCTCAGTAATTTCACCTCTAGGAATCTATGAAATCAATATTATTTTTATAGCTTGTTAATGTAACCTCTTATCTACTAGGAACTGTGCTAGGTGCTTTACGTACATTAACCCACTTGCTTTTGTGAATCACATTTTTCCCATTTCATCTTCTAATTATTATTGCTAACATATAAATTAGCTATTTTTGTTTATGTATTTATCTTTTATCAGGCCACTTGACTAAGTTATTTTAATTCCAATAGCTCCTTTGGCTAATTCTCTAGGGTTTTCTAAGTAAACACTGTATCATCATCAAATAGTAATAATTCTGTCTCTTCCTTTACAAAACTTGCCTTATTGAATTGATTGGACCCTCCCAAATAAAAAAATAAATCTTTTATTAAAATTCCACGTATGAGTGAAATCATATGGTATTTGTCTTTCTCTGATTTATTTTGCTTAACATAATACTCTCTAGCTCCGCCCACGTTGTTGCAAATGGCCAGATTTCATTCTTTTTGATGGCTGAGTAATATTCCATTGTATATATATAATCCACAACTTCTTTATGGACATTTGGGCTCCTTCCATTATTTGACTATTGTTTTGTTTTGTTTTTTAAGATTTTATTTATTTATTTGAGAGAGAGACAGAGATAGCAACAGAGATAGCAACAGAGAGAATGAGCGGAGAGGAGAGGGAGAAGCATGGAGCCATGGTGGGGCTGGATCCCAGGACCCCAGGATCATGACCTGAGCTGAAGGCAGATGCTTAACCAGCTGAGCCACCCAGGAGCCCCTTATGTTTTTTGTCTTTTTTTTTTTTTTAATTTTAATAGTTGTTCATTACTTTTATGATTGTCTACTATAGTGGTGAGAGAGGATAATTGGAATAATATGTTTGAAATATTCTTTCAACAAAAATCTTTGTATTTTCATTAGTAATTTTTACAGTCTCTTTATTCAGAATCCAGCTCCTTCATTTTGTAACTTAAGTAAATGACTCCTCTCCCTTGGTACACGCTGAATATCACATAAAGGGGTGCCCTGGCACATGCTCAGTCCTAAAATCACACTTTGACCTACTGTTCCTGTAGCAGTCCCTCTGCTTCCGGATACCCACTATTTCCTGGATCTGCAGTCCTCTTCCTTCCCCATTGCTCTAGTTCACGCTTTCATTATCTTCCACCCCCAATAAACAAGGGCTCCCTAACTGGTTTATCCATCCAACTATTCGACGTGAGATTTGTAAAATGCAAGCCTTTGGGATGATTTTCACTTGTCCAGCCCACGGAATAAAGTGCTGACTCTGGGGCTTGCTATGTAAGCCCCTGAAGGGGCCTGTCTTATTTCCGGGTATTCTCCATCTTGCACCCAAAGTCTAAGCAATGTCTTAATGCTCGCAGTAAGTATATACCCCAGTTCGTGTAGTTTTGTTTTGGGGGAAGGGACTAGGGGGGCACTGAGGAAGAGATTATCAACCATCGAGGAAAGGGCCCACACCCGAGGCAGGAAATGGGATGCCTCCAGCTAGCTGAAAGTACAGACTTTTTCCCAGCCATAAATACATCTCATTCCTTTTTTTTTTCTTCAAAGATTTTATTTATTTATTTGAGAGAGAGAATGAGAGAGAGAGAGAGCATGAGAGGGGGGAGGGTCAGAGGGAGAAGCAGACTCTCTGCCAAGCAGGGAGCCCGATGCGGGACTCGATCCCGGGAGTCCAGGATCATGACCTGAGCAGTCACTTAACCAACTGAGCCACCCAGGCGCCCAATACATCTCATTCTTGTGATCTTGTGATCTCTCCCTAGAAGAACCAGTCCGTCAGACTACCCGATTCCAGCCCCTTCCGCCCCACAGCGTTTCCCGTTAAAACCACCAGTGGTTTGCATCCTCCCATCTTCCCGCTTCTGAAGTTCCCCGAGCCCGGGCCGTCCTCTAGCTCGTTCGCCCTTCAGGCTGGGGGAAATGTCCGTTCCCGCTCGCCCCCGCCGCCCGCCGCCCGCCGCCCGGCGCTCGCACGACTGCGTGTGCTTCTCGGTCTCGGCGCCTGGAGGGGCCCGGAGCCGGCCGGTCACGTGGCACGCCGGTAGTCACGCGGGCGCCGCTCAGCTGACCGGGGGCTCACGTGGCCCCGGCGGCCGTGAGCGAGGAGAGCGGCGGGCCATGGCGGGCTCGGGGCTCTGGTTTCCGCTGCTGCTGGCGGCAGCGCTCGGCGGCCGGGCCACGGCCCTTTGGCCCTGGCCCCAGTACATCCAAACCTCCGAGTCCCACTACGCCATCTTCCCGCACAACTTCCAGTTCCGGTACCACGTCAGTTCGGCCGCGCAGCCGGGCTGCTCCGTCCTCGACGAGGCCTTCCAGCGCTACCGCGACCTCCTCTTCACCTCCCGCTCTTGGCAACCTCCTGAACCCACAAGTGAGTCGGACCTGCCCTGCCTCGTTTCCGGCTCCGAGAGAGCCTGCCCGGGGGCGCCTCCCCAAACCTCCCGAGACGCCCTTCTTTTGGCTTCTGCCCAACCCTGTCGTCTAGTCACAGCCCTCTGGTCTCCACTTCCTCCTGCGCCCTTTCTCCAGCTGTCATCTCAGACCCCCCCACGTTTAGTCCCCAGCTCCATTCTCTGCTTCACTGAGCTGACTTCTGGAGCCAGGATTTCTCTGGAATCCTGCCCCCCGGGCTCTGTTTCACCAAGAATGCCTGCTACGGGACTGCAGTTCAATCAGGATGTCAAACTGCTGAAAATACTGGGCCAGGAGACATCGAAGGTGATCCGTCTGACCGTGTTCAAGTGTCTAGGGTCCCAGTGAGGCTGTGACCGGGGCTGGGTAGAGGACATCAGAGCTGACACCAAAGATTGGCAAGATAAGACACTAGAAATGACTTGACCTATGCAGAATTACATGAAAAGTGTCTGACACATGGCATGTCCAGTAAATGTTTAAACTGTGAGAGAAATCGGAGAACACTTCCATAGGGAAATGAATTTTGAGTAACCACTTAAAGTGGGGTGGTGGATATAATTGGCCAGGACTGAAAGAGTATTCCAGGGAGGAACCCTGGAATTGATAAGGTGTATCAACAAGAGGGTTAGCCAGTTGGATTAGGAGTTCTCTCCCACCTTTGTGGAGTCACTGACAGTGAGGACAGCTGAAGAGAGGAGGTTGGATCTGTGGAGGTGATAAAGTTTTTTTTTTTTTTTTAATGTTTTTTATTTATTCATGAGAGTCAGAGAGAGAGAGAGAGATAGAGGCAGAGGCAGAGGCAGAGGGAGAAGCAGGCTCCCCGCCCAGCAGGGAGCCCAACATGGGACTCGATCCCAGGACCCCGGGAAAATGACCCACGCCGAAGGCAGACGCTCAACCATCTGAGCCACCCAGGCGCCCGAGGTGATAAAGTTTTATGTGTGAAGGATTTTCTGTGATCTGCCTCAAGGTTTATGGATCTATATAATCCACCATCATAGAGAAATGGATTTGCTTTTCTTCTCAATTCCTGGCTAGAGTGAAGAAGACCCATTACTGTGTCAACCTCTCTCTTTCATTTCCTTTGCTTCTGTTTTAAGCTTTTGTTATTGCTTAAGCTTCCTTAGCGTTGCACTCAGCCCTGAATCTAGACAATAGTGGTGTGCTATTGATGTCCACTTCTTGAAGGTGATTGGGCTTGGGTATGGTGTAGAGCTTTTTCCTTTGGAAGTGTACGCTCGGATGCAGGAAGTTTGGGTGCTTATCACCTTGGGTATCAGTAAGCAGCCTCCCCTTCTTTTGCAAAGCTTTGGGAGCAAGGGAGATGGTTTACCAGGTACACTATATCCTAGCTGAAAAGTTTAACTGTTGTCTTATTTGACCTTGTCCTGGTAGTAACTAGTACTGAGATCCCACGTTAATGGCTTTGGTCTTTGGACTAGAGCCACAGTCCTAGTTTGAGGTAAATTCAGAGCTCTAAGCTCATGTCCCTTTTATATTATTGGAGTTTCAGCCTGTTTGCCATACAGGGTGTCATCACACAGTAGTGGAGCTTTTGGGCTCCTCTGAGAAGCTCATGAAAAGCCCTCAGAGAAGCCGTTCTGATGGTGTGGTTACCCCACAGGACACCCCAACTCTGGGCTCCTCCAGCCGAGTGGCAAAACTGACTTCTTAAGAAAAAGGAAGTAGAAGGTGGAAGGAAACTAGCATTTATTGAGTGTCTGGCACTTGCTTTATATTATGCCCTTTCATCTTTTTAATAGCTCTATGAGGTTGGTGTTATCCCCATCCTTCAGAACTGAGACTCACAAAGGCTAAGTAACATGTGCAGGGTTTCACAGCTAATAGTGGTGGAGCAGAAATTCCAGTCAGGTCTGTTTGTCTACAAAGATTTTGCAATCTTGGGGCGGTCTACTACTCACAAATATTTTCACCAAGTATTATACCGATTAGTGATTTGGAAAACTATTTTTTTTTTTTAAGATTTTATTTATTTGAGAGAGAGAGAATGAGAGACAGAGAGCATGAGAGAAAGGAGGGTCAGAGGGAGAAGCAGACTCCTTGCTGAGCAGGGAGGCCGATGGGGGACTTGATCCCGGGACTCCAGGATCATGACCTGAGCCGAAGGCAGTCGCTTAACCAACTGAGCCACCCAGGCGCCCCAGATTTGGAAAACTATTGGCCTTTGGTAGGAGTAAGCCCTGATCATACTTTAGTGTTAATTACCTCAGATAGTAACTTCTAACATCTAATTGCTTAATCATTAGCACTCAAGTTATGAATGTTTTGATCCCGGGCCCATCATTATCAGATTCCAGTAGTGTTTCTGGCCAGCTTCCTTCTTTCCTTCCATCCTTAGTACAAGTAGTATTTACTAAGCAACTATAATTTGTCATTAGCACTTGTCCAAGAATATTAATTGAACTGTCCTTGTCCTTAAAGAATTTAGAGTCTCTGGAAGTGGGAATACAGTAAAGTATCAGTAAAGTGATTTTTGCTGGTAAGTACAAGGTACTTTGGGAACATCTGACCCACGTGTGTGTGTTGGGGTGTAGGAGAGGGTACCTTTTGAGAAGCCTTCCATAAAGAGCTGTCCAATCATATTTGAAAGTAGGAGTTGGTGGAATAGGTAGTAATTCACATGGAAAGAACTGCATGTGGGAAGAGCCTTCAGGAAAGAAGCCTTCATGTCATATATTTAAGAAACTCAGTGTCACTGTGGTTGAAGCACACAGATCTAGGGTGGTTCAGCAGGTTAGTTATACAGTACAGAAGCTTGAGAGAATGAGTTGGAATACCTCCAGGGGACAAGAAGGTCCAAAAGGTGACCATGGGAGGGTGTTAAGGTGTTGTTGGATAACTGCTAAGCTAGAATGTGGGTTAGTTCTTCCTCTTGAGTGTTGAAATCACCTAGGATGAAAGCCAACCTTGGAATGGAGAGGAAGACTGGAGACCAGGACCCAAAGTCTTGGGTAGTAAAGAGGTGACCAGGATGTTGCAGTGTTGGTGACAAGGAGAGGCTCGAGATTTTACAACTGAATATCATGAGCCACAGAAAAGAGGTGCTTTTTTCACTTGATGGTAGAGACTAGTTGTCCTGGAAGCAGCTGAAAAGGAGCTGCCTCTCAGAGCAGGTTGTAGGGGAAATAATATTCCTGGGGAGAGCCAGTCTTCAGTTAAGGAGGATGTAGAAGAGACTGAGGATGTTGGTAGTTCAATAACAGGATTCCAGAGGCTTGTGGGGGTGGGTGATATGTAGTCCAGGTGGCTTGGTGGAGGACAAGAAACAACATTTATAGGAATGGGAGTGTGGGTCCAGAACAGAAATGAGCAGAGGCGTCTATATACTGGACGCTTGACAAAAGATGATAGCGGTATGACATGGTAGGTCCTCCCAACTATAAGACTGCCATGAAAATAAGCTCCGGAGACAAACAAGAGTTCACATACATGGGAGAATTTAATATATGGTCAAGGAAACATTTCTAATCAAAAGTGCAAAGATGTTTAGTCAATAAATATGTAAGGATGACTGGTTATCCATTTGGGAAAAAATAAAATTAAATCTATATCTCATATCAAACACAAAAGTAAATTCCAGGTGGTTAAAGATCTAAAGATAAAAGCCATGCCATAAAACTATTAGAAGTATAGGAAACTGTTTATATGGTCCCAGAGGCAGAGGTGGCCTTTCTAAGCAGGCGGATAAAAGAAACCATAAAGGAAAAGATGAACAAATTTGACTACATAAAAACCAAAGCAAGAGGACCATAAGATTAAAAAATAAGGACACAGGGCGCCTGGGTGGCTCAGTCGTTAAGTATCTGCCTTCGGCTCAGGTCATGATCCC